CTAAAGAGACCTGCCATATTTTGGTTTCCTGATATCACACTTTCCAGTTTTACTAGTTCATTTTATGCGCCTCCCTTATTTCACATGTATGCTATGCACATTGTCATATTAACAATCCTTAAAAGAAGTATCAATTAGAATTTAGGCTTGTAAATGTCATGAGCCTCTGATTCCTCTGAAAGAATCAGTCAGTGACAGTAAGAAACGGCATTGGTCTAGACTAGAGAGCAATAAATCGCTGCTTCATCTAACCATGTTGGATACTGGCAGTATATAGCAAGTAGCAACTGTATGTAAAAAAAGGCAAGAATATGAATGCCATGGATTTCACAAGTAATTGTAGCTATAGTTGTGCTATAACTACTCCCCGAAGGATCGTGTGGAATGAGTGACGTTCATTCTTACTGCTATTTCATAGGATTATTAGACAATAACTATATTAGGTGGGACGAGCAAGATGTCTTAACAGTTAACACAATAGAATACATTTGTAATAAACTTGATGCATATGATTTATATGCTCCAATTTGATGGAGTGTTGAAATCATAACCCTATCTGGAGCATACAAATTACAAATCATATGCATCAAGTTTATTACAGATGTATTTTATTGTGTAAGACTTAAGACATTTCAAAGGAATACCCAATAGCTATATTTATAGCTACAAAGCCTACAAGTCTACAACTATGGCTAACTACACCATGGGGGTTGAGACCAATGTAACCAATGGTTAAAGTTTCAACAGGCTGAAATAAAAAAGCATAGTCATTGTTTTAAGTCATTCTAACTGCTACCGGCATTCCCCAAATCTAATCCAAACAACTAACTTTACCCAAGTCATTTTCTGAATTAAATAATAATAATAATATAACCGATGCAGGCTAATGATTCAGACTATTAATGCAAATCCAATTACTATTTTAGGTATAAAATATATCTACTCCTATTTGTACACTTATGTATATGTTTTATCTTATTTGGAGCAGTTCTAAACTAAGTTTTCTCAAGTTAAGCCATGCCTTGGTGAGGCCAAAACATGACCCATTAGAATTTATCATCAGAATATTATAAACGTTGCTAGCAACCCAATATAAATTTGAGGTCTCTGGTATTAATTGGGATCCCCATAGGGATGGACTCGGGCCGGGCCAACCGGCCCGGAACCGGACCGGCCCGCTACTGTGCGGGCCCGGACCGGCCCGCTACTGTGCGGGCCCGGACCGGCCCGGTCAACCGGTTCGGTTCCGGTTCGGGCCTCCAGACCCGGTGGTATACCGGTCCGGGCCCGGGCCTCCAGTTTAGTGAACCGGCCCGGACGGGCCGGGCCCGGTTCGGGCCGGAATTTAATTTTTTTTTTTTTTTTTTTTGAAATTTTTTTAAGTTTTGGGTTGGATTAGGTATTTTGGGCCATTTGAGGTGGTTTGGGGTGGTTTGGGGTGGAGGGGGAGGGGTAGGGGGTTAAATAAGAGAAGAAGAAAAAAAAAAAACATTCCGGGTGGCCCGGCCCGGCCCGGCCCGGTTCTGGCCCGGAACCGGAACCGGAACCGCCCACCACCGGTTCGGGCCCGGGCCTCCTTTTTCTGAACCGAGGCCCGGCCGGGCCCAGGCCCGAACCGGGCCCGAACCGGAACCGGTCCACCCCTAGATCCCCACTTAATCTAGTGTTTACTTTCCAACAATTTCACTATTTTTCCTAGTGTTATTTGACCTATGAATCATGTATGGAATGGATTGTTATGCCCCTGCTGTATTAAATAAAACAACCAGCAAGTCAAAACAGCTATCAAATTTAGTCATTGGCAATGTGTTGATACAATCCACCAACTGACACAACGAGTTGCTTAAGCCATTATGCACAGCACAATTAGGTTTGCATCGATTTTTTTAACACATTTGGGTTGATCTCAGGAAGACAAGAACTATTGAACTCAATGCATCATTGCCCAAACTTTATATAAGTAATCATCAACGATGCACAAACAGCACATTATGACCACTCCATGGAAAAAGAAGTAAAATCTTAAAAACCCTGCACTATACAATCGAAAGGATTCTAAATTTATCCAAAACCACGTAACAGCTAAATGCTATAACTTCCCGTATTTCTTTCTTATTCGATCCTTGACAAAATCATTCCTAGCCTTGGTTCTAGCTTGCTGAGGACCAACATTCAGATATGAAAGATGCACCCCATATGCAAACAAAGCTCCGCTACCAAGGAAACATGCAACTGTAACTGCTAGCTTGGCTGGGGTTGAGGGAGAACAAAAAGCCATCTGATCTAAAATCCTGCCAGCAAAGAGTTTCCATTCATGTATTAGGGTGAAACACTTTGCTCAGTGTCACATGGAAAAAAGCACACATAACACACATAATGGGAGTACATAACACATATAATGGGAGCACATAACAACAATCAAATTTCCGAGGCAAGGGTGGATCAGATTTTAATTAGGGTTTAGCAAAAGTAATTACTCCAGCCAGATGTATTTGAGGAAGTTTCTGTACTCCCAAAAACATAAAGACAGTCAAACACTCAAGCTCAAACCTTAAACAGTCTCGAGTCTCGACAAAGAACAAATACAGTAGCAGACAAAGCATAGTTTCCGTATAAGATTGAAGACCTGATCCAAGGCATCCAAGACACCTCTACTGCTCTACAAACAGTTTCTTACAAACAGTGTAAGAAAAATGGAATATCAAGCATATGCACCAGACCAAATGCACATGGTAAGATGCATTTCATACCCTTTAAAAAGAGAGACTTTGAATTTATTATCGTTATACACCTGAACTAGTAGTGTAAGCCTTTAAATTGTCCTGTAAAGATAATAATGCTGCAAGATACTACCTCTGACACATTTTGATTGTCTCATATGAAGTATTTCCTATTTAGACCGTCCTAGCATACTTTTACTAAATTAGGCAGTATTTTTGTCTCTGCATCATTTCCAATTTCTCTCTTTTAAATGTTCAATAACAATCACAAATCCCACTTTTCCATAATATTTGTGCCAAAATCAACAGGCCGTCTTTAGAATTGTAGAGGCCTAGATGAAAGAACACTTAATATTGTCATATCATATTAATGTGATTTCTGTAACACTAATGTCATAAAAAAAGATAAATTGAATAAAAAATACACAATATGAGAAACAACACATATTCAAAGTGAAAGATACACTGTGAACATCAAAAGAATAAATTTTTAAATGTAAACATATGCAAATGCACAAAAACTTTTACGGAGTACTTCTTAATATCCTATTCTTCTTGCTTTTCGTTTGAGCAGTCATCACAATACCTACATGCTTACAGAAAAATCACAAACAAATAGTCAACAAAACAAACTAAAATTCACAAATACAATTTTTAGTGAAAATCGCAAACCAAACTACATAATTACTACCACCAAATTAATTGAAAATTATTTCAATAATTCATGAATTTTCTTGACAGCCTTGCAACTAATTAAAGCTAAAACTACTTCATCTATCTATCGACTGCCAAAATACCAATAACTGAATAATCAATATTAACCCAGTAACCTTAAGCCTAAACTTTATACAATTTTAACTTTTATTTACCTGAAGACGCTAGTCCTTAAGCCAAACGCACTGTCGGGTGAGGAATAAGGGAAGCTTCTGAAGCGTTAATTCTGTGGCCGGTCACCAGTGAAGACTGTAGGGAGAAGTGCAACTGGGGTGCTGTGCACAACCGCAGTAGCTATGCTGATCTCGTTCAGTCGTTCTGATCGGTCGATTCGGTCATTGGACTCTGGAATTTATGAATCGGGGCTCTGGCATTGTCGCCGTTTGCGGGAGTTCAGGAGTTTATGTCTGATGATTCAATTCTAATTTGGGATTAAGAAAAGAATAATACGAGTACTAGGTATTAAAAATTAATTAATGGACAAAAAAAGACTGTTTGAATTTCCAAAAAAGAGATTCAAAAGGAATAAGATCATTATATCCTTTATGTCCTTGTCACTTGACCCATTACCACAATGACAACCATTCAAGTGACCAACGTCACAATGACGTGCATGTTCGCTCGTCGAGTGATCATCCTCCGCCGATATAGGGGTGTTCGTCGGTTCGGTTTGATCGGTTTCGGTTTTAGAAAATGTGAAACCGTAAACCGAACCGTACTACTTGAGTCGGTTTCGGTTCGATTAGAAAATGTGAAACTGTAAATCAAACCGCACTACTTGAGGCGGCCTATCCAGTGACTAATGAGTAATGTCCACCCGTCAAGTGACTAATGCCCGACCATCCAGTGACTAACATCAACCCGTCCAGTGACCATTGTCTGTCCGTCTAGTGATCAACGTCCACCCGTCCAATGACCAAAGTCCACTCATCCAGGACCAAGTGACCAACGTCCTCCTATTCAGTAACCAATGTGTGCCCACCCGACATTGACCACCGTAGACAACGATTCTAGTGACCACGTTGGCCCCAACCACCACCGCCCCTTTGAGACACTAGGGACCCTGGTGCCACATACCTCTCTACCTAGCACAGGACGTTAAAAATTCACAAATATAAGGCCACATGCAATATTTTTGGGTTGGAATTGACGATCTTGAAAAGTAAGATTCAGAAATTTCATTCATACTCATCTAGGATCATGAATAGACTACTATAGATAATTTCCTAGCCTATATAAACCCATAATTTATCACAACTGGATGATTGGATCATCTAATCTTATATCAATTCCAATTGTTATACTTTATTACACTATTTTTGGTGTTCTTGAAGAAGGAAAATCATCCTTCTTAATCATTGGTGTTCTTTCTACTATGACGAATAATTATTGGCTTATTGCAACCAGTAGCATCCCATGTTAGCCTTTATTCATTTACTTAATTACTTCCCAAATAAAAGTAACGATGTGGATGGCCTCTCCCTTAAAACTCCCTTCTTCCCTTAAATAGTTAAATCCAAACACCAATCGGTTACCCCCCATAATGGAAATGCCAAAAGTGAAGTCCTCGAAATGCATACGTGATTTGACTCAACATATGTGATTTTGACTAGAACATCAAAAGCCTGCAATTTTGACTCAACATATGTGATTTGAAAAAGTTCTCAATCCACTCTAGATTATTTGCTTTCACTTTGTGTAGCTAACAATTAGAAGTGAAGTCAGGAATCACTATCAGAATCCAAGTCTGTATCTTGCTCGGATTGGAATGCTATTAATCTATTTGTATTGGCTTCTAATGGAGGAAGTCCATCATCATCACTTGAGTTTTCAACATCACATGTTTGAGGAGTTTGCTTTTTTAAACTTTGCATTGGAGGTTCAATTGCTTTCGATCTGAAGATATCTGGCCTGCACGGGAATATGAGTATGAGAATCCAAAGCATAAATGGTTTCACATAGCTGTTATTTTCCAAATGGTGGCTCATGGCAATTGTTCCAAATACAAACAGATTTGAATAAAAGATGCAAATCCTCAATCATTTCACATAATTGTACTCTCTAGTAATATCAAATGATTCAGAATTTCATTGGAAAGAAAGAAGTGAAGTACTAACACCGTAAAACAGACACATTAGTTTCAAGCAACCACGTACCATTCTGGAGACTTTTTATACTCACGAACTTGATCATGGTAGAGGACTTGTGCAACAGTGCAACCCACTTTTCTACCTGACCCCATTGCCTCCTCTCTCCCACTCTCATCAACCACGACAAAGTTCCCTATTCATTCACAGTAAAAGGAAAGCAGAAAAGAACAGGTAAAGTAAGGCTTTTGTAATCTCTCTTTTCATAAAATATAAAAATGTAGATATATAGTTATACTTATAAGCTATTCTCTTAACAGATCAAACCTCTTTTAATCCACATGCTCTTTTGAAACTTAGCTGGGAAGATTGCTATTGACTTATCACCCTTTGCATCCATTACCTTCAAATACCAACAATGCAACTTAGAATGAAACAATGCATAAAACATAAAGTTGTACAAATACTCTATGCATGTCTCACTTTGGGTGTTTTGTTGAAAGTGTAACGATGTACAAATAATGTATGAAAATCTCTGTTTGCGTGTATGTGTTGAGAGAGTCAGAGAGAGATGTTTACCTCAATTTGATTGGAGCCACGGAGGTCAACTACTTGCATAATGCATTGTCCTTGTTGAAGAGTTGCAGTTTTTTCATTTACAGCTCTTTTCAAATTCTTTCTTCCTCTTTGCATGGCTCACTGATCTTTTCCCACTTCTAGAATGCAATCCAATGCAGACTTGGAAACCCCAAAACAGGATAATTAGTCAAAGTTGCAGAATAGTAGCTCAATACCAATTACCAAAGTTGCAGGATAGTAGCAAATATGAGAGCGTTTAGATGAGAATCACTCAACAGTATTTTATTAAAGCTTTTAAGATTGGAGCAAAATACCCACCTTACTTATAGGCCCAATTCAATTCAATACATAATAAACTTTTAGATTCAACACATCCATGCTTAAGACTGGCAGTAGAGACTGTTTAGGATAATGCCTACAAAGTTTATTACTCATTATCAAGGTAGTCAAAGTCGAAAGGTGCTCTTGAAGCGCTAGGGACCTTGCAGCGCCTGAGGCGCAAATAAAGCGCTCGACTGACTCGGGTGAAGCGCATTACTTAGATAATATCACATATACTATTCCACAATTATCAAATATGATGTAGGTAACAACATATTAAACCAAATGCATAAAAAGGCAGGATTCACCAAAATAAAGTCGTGATTCACAAAAACTAAACACCAAATTCAGAATTCATGGCTTTAATACTAAAGGCTCACTATTTTTTGGCTTGAAAATATGATGGAATAAAGCAAAATGGCTCACTAAATTGTCTGCGCTTCTTTGTTATGAAGCTCCAGTCAGTCCATGCATTTTGGACGCGATTTTCACTATGGGTCATCCGGAAACAGTCTCTATGTGCTTTAGTACAGGGGTAAGGCTGCGTACATCTGACCGCCCCTTACCCCACTGTAGGTGGGAGCCTTTGTGGCACTGGGGTAATGATGATGATGATGGCTTTAATACTAAAACTAAAAGGAAAAGACAATCAAATCGGAGCCTATTCACCCTTGTTAGACTTGTGAAGGACTATTAGTCATCAAAAGAGGAGTAGGTTTCTTCTCCATTATCTGATTTATATTCTCCAACATCCTCTTCAATTTCTCCCTTAGTTTCCTCATCCACAAGCCTACGAGTAGTACTTGAACTTGGATTTTAGGACTACGTATTATTATTACTTTATTATATACATAGCATTGTTCTAGCGCTGTGAGTAATATAGAGTAATACAGAGTATCATTACTTTATTATATACATAGCAATATACTAGTGCTGTGTGTAATATAGAGTCATACAGAGTATCATTACTTTATTATATATAGCAATATACTAGTGCTATAAGTAATATAGAGTATTATTACTTTATGAGTAATATAGAGTATTATATACATGGTAATATACTTGTACTTTATTACATACATAGCAATATACTATATGAGTATTGGGATGAAGAGGACTGCATGAAAAAGAGCACATCTTGTTTAGTGCTGTGAGGGAGAACTGAGTTTGCTTGAGATGATGAAGAAAACTGAAAGAACTGGCCAGTGTAGAGCAGCTTGAGTGAGGAGAATGAGTAGACTGAAGAGTGATGATGGCAAGCGATGATAGCATAGTGTTTTACACAAGGTTTTACGTTTTTACGTACTTGACTTGAGGTTTTACGTAGGTTTCAATGGTTTTACCCTATTATTTAGATGGGCCAAGTGTTATTAAAGATATGAGCTAACTATTTTTGAAAGTTTTAAACAAAAAAGGCTGTCAGCCTTTTCTGGATCAGGTGACCCAGGCGTGCACCTCCCTGCGCTTCATGCGCTTATGCTGCGCCTCACCCAGGTGCGTGCGCCTCCCCTTCTCCCAAGTTCTTTAACCACCCAGCTCATTATGAATGCAATTTATTGTGACCCATCTCAGCCTGGCAACGTATAACCAGCTCAGTGTTGTTAATGGCTAACGTCACATGACCCAAATTCTGCCATATGGTTGGCACCACCCATAGCCCACCATTCTGCACAAATTTTATATGGAGCCATGGAGGTATCCTATGATTCCTCGACCACCAATCACAAGACTGCTGTTTGACAACATTGAACCCAACCAGCCCTTTCCAGAGCTGGAAAAAGACTTATAAGCTAACTTCAAATTCAGACTTTTTATAGCATACAGTATAGTATAGTAATATTTCCAAAGTTTTATCTTTCAATATTTTGAGTTTTAAATCAGTTAAATAATTAACGAAAGAGCAATTGCTTTAGTCTAAACAGGACATAGTTGTTGAAGCAAATAGCTGAAAATCGAAAAGGCTAACTTAATAGAAAGATAGAATCCTATAAGCCTGATTAAGATGGAAGAGTTAGATGAAATAGAGAAATCTTAAATTAATGGAACAGTGGAACCTCACATGGAAGAGAGACCCGAGAAAGAAGAATGAAAGAACACATAGAAATCGAGTTAGAAAAAGAGTAAGAGTGGAGAACACAAGAAGCAGAGGAATTTGAAGGGAAATGAGAGATATAAGAGCTAATATGAGAAGCCCAAAAAAGCAATATACATCTTTTAACATTATTTTTGGTGCTTATAAAATCATACAACCCGATATACGTGTATATGAAAACCATACTGCTGATAACATACATGGACTTTAAGAAGTAAAAAGTTATAGATAAAACATTTCATTTCATTGAATTTGTCCTTTTCCTTTAATTCACTCTTTACGGTAATAGTTCAGTGATGAATAACTCTTCTTTTTAACTCATGAAGAATTAGTTTTCAGATAAATCACAACTAGATGTGTTACATTTTAGTAATTTAGTTTAGATCTAGATGTTCAGAAACCATATACTACGTACTTCGTATTAAACTTAACAGAGGCATTGACAAATCACAAATGGTGTTGAAGAACTTATGGTATAGAACGAAAAGTGGAATTTGAGTGGGTATGGAGGAACTGTTTTATGAAACAAGACGTGGGATTACCTTCTGCCATGTTGTATTTTTCACTGCATGGAGATACTGAACCCATTTTGAAAAGGGAAAAGGATCTTGGAGGGTTAAGCATACTCAGAAATATCTGTCTCTTAAAGAACTTGCCATACTAAATTTTAGAAGTACAAATCAGTGTTATCAATAGCTGATAGCAGATTTGGCGGAAAGATTAAAAAACGCTAAGTAAATAGCCGAAGCATAGAAGATTGGGTATAGTATACAATTACATATATAGTGATATAAATTTAAATATCGTACTATATGTTAGAAGTAAAGTAATAAAAATAGTCAAATAGATTCTAGCAACACTAACAGTTACCATCTTAGAAGTATACTTGAAATCATAGCATAAAGCACTATCATTTTTGTTCTTGGCATTTGACCAAGAGTGTGAAAGTGATGGTATTTCATATTTGGTACAGTAAATGCAAACTGCTGAAACTTTTTATTAAAAAATTGAGTGGTACTAATAAAAATGGTGAGGGAGAATACTAGCTGAATTTAAAAAGAAGAGGCATTACATTGACACACTCAAAGAACCAAATTTTCTGCAGCCAAAATAGTAAAATATGTTAACAAATGACAAACAAATTGCAAGAGAATAGAACGACAAAAGTTCAAAATAACATTGAAAGAATACAGGAGTAAAGGTAAAAAGGGCAGGGATCCCGGCTCACCCAGGCAGAGGATGGCTCGGAATCGCTAAGTGCAGGTCGCAGGAAGAGGAGGCCGCCGGAGAGTGAAGAGGAACAAACGATCCGAGTTTTTTGGATTAATTAAATAAAAGACAAATAAATTGCTTAATTAGGGAGTTTTGTTTTAAAAAAAGTTGAAAAAAGTGTTTTCGACTTCTATTTAAATTAATCACTTAGAGCCCGTTTGGTAGCATCAAAATCGGTTGTTTTGGCTGATTCTGCTGAAATTTATGATATTCTGGCTGGAGTGGCTGTTTTGGCTGATTCTGCTGATTTAAGAAAAAAATATTTTAAAAATATATTTTATTAATAAATTAAAGAAAAAATTATATGTAAAAATAGCTAAAATGGTCCTCTACAGTAACTTCAGCCAATACAGCCAGAAAAGTAACTCCAACCTTACTTTTTCAGCTTATTACACAATTCAGCGCGCGAAAGTAAAAGTTACGTGTTTGGTGAAAAAGCTGGCTGATAAGCCTGATAAGCCGAAAACAGAGTTCTCCAAACGGGCTCTTAAAAATTAAAATTGAGAAACAGGTGGAAGAGTGTTTTAAACCACTTCATTTTTTTATTACCCAAAAACACTTGACATATTAAACACTACTCACTTTTACTTTTTTAGAATCACTTTTTATCAAACACTACTAACTTTTACTATTAAGTACTTTCTCCAAAATCATTTTAAAAAATAATTTTTGAAGTAGAAGCTATATAGCACGGAAACTCTCGGAAACTCTTTGGAAACTCTCCAAATAAGACTTTTTGAACAAAAGTTGACGTTTCTCGTTTCCTCATGATATTGGTGTTTCCGAACAACATAGAGTAGGAGTAATCACAAAACTCCTTATTTAATTAAATCAATACACCATTATATAGAAAGACTCGCAGAATTGGTTTAATAATTTAGATATTGTACTTTTATATTAACACCATCTCATTGGATATGCAATATCTAAATTTCAAACATTAATTCTATAATAATAAAATTAAATAAAGTTACAGTCACTTTACAAAATGAATTGATTAAAATTACTGAAAAGAACTACACTCTTAATATTGTTGAGATTGTCCCATTTTCCTTTCGAAAAATCCTTTCCCCCCATCGATCTGAATAATAGGTCTCAACTCAGGAGGAATTACTAAAATTGTTCTCTATCAAATTTGATAAATTAAAATTTGTGTGATTCTCTATAATTTTTACTTTATTTTTTACTTTATCAATTTAATATCAACTGCATAAACTCGCTTTCCTTAATAATTGTGTCACTCCCTCTTATGCCATTATACATTGTTGTGTTTGTATGGGTGTGAAAAAGAATAATTGCAAATATGATGACGGAGGAATGTACTTTGTTAAGAGATATACTTTTAATATAAGTTTTTTACAATCAAGAATAAATATAAGTTTTTTTTTCCTCCGTCATCAGATTAAGAAATAATTGGGTGTGAAAAAATTATATAAATATCCAATTTTTTTTCTTAATATCAAGAATAAATATAAGAAAAATATCCAATTTTTCTTAAATATCCAATCAAGAATAAATATAAATTTTTTTCTTAATATCAAGAATAAATATAAGAATAATTGGGTGTGAAAAAATTATATAAATATCCAATTTTTCTTAATTTGATTAAGAAATATACTTTAACTATATAAGTTTTTTACAATCAAGTTGACTCAATTTATTCAACGCCTTCATCCATAATTTCGCCATTTTCTGTAGATTCACTCAAAAAGGACTTTTCAACTATTGTTTTTAAAAGAAAAGCTCATAAGAAACGACTTCCACAAATGGTCTGTAGATTCACTCAAAAAGGACTTTTCAACTATTATTTTTAAAAGAAAAGCTCATAAGAAACGACTTCCACAAATGGTTGGATCTTAATGAAGGGTTTGCAAATCTTCAAAAACGGGTTTTCACTATTGTTTCTCTTTTATAGTTTTATAGTTTTTATGTACAATTTCTAACTGCATTAAAAAAAATGTACAATGTCTAACTACGTAACCATGTAACACACGAGTTGAAGCCTGAATGTGATAAGCGTATCAGTGCCCTAGCGGCGCATTGGCGCTGAGCCTGCAGCCAGTTTTGGCCAGTTTTTCCGGCGCCTCTTTAAGGGGCAGTTTTGGATAAAGCGTGTGAGGCATGTCTGTTGGGGATTTGGCGTGCGTCTGAGTGCGAGCGAGAGCATACAAGAAGAGATGGATATTGCTCAAAATAATGGACAATTATGGAGGCGGCACAAGCGGCACAGGCTATGAGCATGAGGATGGTGAATGGCTGATCAAGGGAGAAGACAGATCGACGGTTCGCCCCCCTCCTGAACTGCCGCCTGAGTCTCCTGCTCAAGTATTTTCATTAAAGTACTCTGATTTTTCTTTTGGCTAACTTTTGTTTTTCAATTCATTTAGATTATATTTTTACCGGGTTGTGTTTAATCGGGGCGACTCTTGTTTGATTTTTAATGCTGTCAGGTGACAAGTACAACATAGGATAAGTGACGAGAATACATCGTCGATCATGATTGGCTTATTGACTTACAGTTGTCCAGGCCTATGGTCGAATAATGTTTTCTTGTCTTTCTTGCTTGTCTACTATGTCTGGTCTTGTTCGTGTTGGTTTGGATTCTATGATTTTAATATAAGACATTTTCTCTTAAAAAACTACTATTTTAAAACAAAAGCTGAAATGAGTATTTTTAAAAGAAAATTTATGTTTAAAATAAGCATTTAAAAGCTAAAAGTTAAAAGCAAATAAAGATGTGCTTTAAATAGGTTTTCACTTTTTGTATTACACAAAATACTCTTTTTTATTATCAAACATTACGAAATTTTACTTTTTCATAAAACACTTTATTGAAATATTGCCAATTTTAACTATTAACTACATTCTCTCAAATCACTTAGATATCAATTTTTTAAAATAGAAACAATGAAAAACACGCGCAACCATCATGGGTATGAAATTTAAAAAATATTAGATTCGGTCTATTATTCAACAAAATTAAGAGCTCGTTTGGTAACAATGAAATTGGCTGAATCGTCTGGTTCTGCTGAAATCTATGAATAACTGGCAGAAGTGGTTGTATTGGCTGATTCTACTGATTTGTGGAGAAAAAAATACTTAAAATATATTTTAGTAATAAAATAAAGAAAAATTATACGAAAAATAACTAAAATGTTCATCTATAGTAACTCCAGCCAATACAACCAAAAAAGTAACTCCAAATTTGTTGTATTATTACATAATTCGGCGCGCGAAATCAAAAAATTTGTGTTTGGTTAAAAAATTGGCTTATTAGCCTGATAAACAAAAAAAAAATCACTAAACAAGCTCTAGAATTTTATATTTTATGTGTAGAATGTTCTCATATGCAGGGAAAAGATAGTTTGATGTAAATTTGAAAAATCCTAGGGAGACTTCCCAAAATAGGAATAAATGGAGTTTGAAATTCCAAAATAGGACCATTATGTTTTTATTACCAAAATAGGACTAACATGTCAATATTTACTGTCATCTTATAGACGTGACTGTCAAATAGTTGCAGTACAATACATTTAACATGACAATTTTTATTATGGAGTATATTTAACGACAGTATTTTTCATACATGACAGTAACAATTCCTATTTCGGGAATAAAAACATAGTAGTCCTATTTTGGAATTTCAAACTTCATTTACTCTTTTTTAAGGCAATATCCCAAAATCGTGAATTGAAAAAAAGAACTACAACGAAGTAAATACTTGTTATGCGAAATATGTCGGGACTTGTCACTTGTGTTTCAAAACCCTTTTCAAAAATATGTGGAATTGTCACTTCTCTGGTTTCGAATTTATAAGAGCAACCACAACGTTAGGGTCTCTAGTCTTAAAAAACATGCCAATTGTCACATAAATAAAACACTCTCTATTCCATGTAATAAGTTGAGTGGTTGCATATTGGAATACAAAACCGCTTCCATTGTAGACACGTCTCGGCTGTCTCACTTCAAGTATGTGGAATTAATACATACGTAGTACTACCTCCGTTCTTAAATAAATGCAACATATGGAATTTTACACTGTTCACATGTTCTACTTTGACTACGTTTTATTTATTAATATATTAATATTATTTTATGAAAAAAATATTGTTAAATTTGTCTCATTGTAAAATTTCAAATCTATTTTTTTTTTAATTTTTTACTAATACAAAATTATATATATTAATAGTCAAAGTTGTGTCTCGGCAAGTGTGAAATGTTGACTGTTGCATTTATTTAAGAACGGAGGAAGTATTAAATTAATAGTAAAGTTTATTTCATGTCAAATATCTTGTGGTATGATGACATCACTACTGATCTGCCAAAGAGAAGGTCGCAGGTTTGAGACACATCCCAAACAAGGATGTTGACATCAACATGAGCATATACTTCGTATTATAATAAGGTTTGAAGAATATTCCAAAAAAGTAAAGTATATTTCATTTTAACCGTTCCTCCTGTTTTTACATAATAGAATATTATCTATTTTACGTAAACTCATAGAGCATATTTAATGGGGAAATGAATTGTACCCCGCAATAATGTACACATCACATATATAGGCTTGGACCCGGTTCGGACCACCCGGCCTGCTACTGTGCGGGACCGGCCCGACCCGGTGCTTCGGGCCCCAAACTGGTCCTTGACCCGGTTATAGGGAAAAAAGCGGGGCGGGCTCGGGTAGCTAAAATGGAGACCCGGCCCCTGTTCGGGCAAAAATGTTTTTGTTTTTTTCTTCATCTTTTGGGTTCCCCCTGGGTTGGGCTTGATGTTTTGGGGGGATTTGGGGGGTCAGGGGGTAGTTAGGAAAGCAAAAAAAAAAAAACCCGGCCCGAACCGGACCCGGTGGCAACCCGGGCCAGTCCCGGGCCTTCCCCCAACCACAAAAGGCCCGACCGGGCCCGACCCGGCTTGACTCCATGCCTACATATCTAGAAAGCCTATGGAGCTGATATGGATGCACACACATTTAAAATAAGATTTTAATAGAATAGAATATCTTTAGGAATATTGTTTTCTTTTGTATCTCGAACTCTCTTATTATATATACACATGTCAGGACTCCTATTGGAGTACCTTTCCCCGTTAATTATTCACATGGTATCAAGAGTCTAGAGAAAAACCTTAATTTTTCTCTTTTTTTTTTTTTCCCGATCCCCTCTCTCACGTCACAGCCATGTCGAAGGATACCTCCATGGCGCTGCCGACTTCCGCCTTCACTACGCCGCCGATCTCAGCCACAACGGGCGTAGGTGTCAGCACATCTGAATCCCCCTCCACGGTCATCAATTCCGTGCCTCTAGTCCGAACACAGCCGAAATTCTCTCGTCCGGTTGGCCAGCTCTCCATGCCGCTGCACCAGGGGCGGATCCAAGGGGTCAGGGTGGTCAGCTGACCCCGCTGAAAATTTAAGAATTTAGAGCTCTGAAATATCTTCGATTTGATATATTATGGGTCCCGTAACTCATTACGAGTAAAAAGTTATGACTTCTGGAAAAGTTAGCACCATCTTAACTTGAAATAAGCAAAATTTAATGTGTGACGTTGATTATATTCTTAAATTTGAAAATAAAACACCTTATTCAGTCATTAATTGTGTGAACATAATGATACATTACATATATATCACTACATTAACCGAAAAATGTTCATTAAATTACCATTTATCTTAGCTACGCGTGAAACATTTAACTCAAATATTGTATAATAACTATCCATCATTTTAATACCGTATATAATTAAATTCCGACCCCCTCACACATTTTTCTGGGGTTTAATGCACCAAACCCCCCTGTGATTTGGAAATTCGCCGCATTAGCCCCCTGTGATTTAAAAAATGCGTCAAACCCCCCTGTGTTTTAATTAATCATGCGCCAAATCCCTTATGTGAACAAATTCAATTGTCAAATAAAAGAAAAATGATTAACATTTTTGTATGATTCAGAGATTTTGACATATTTATTTGCATATTCAATCAAAATATTAAGAAAAGTGATTTTCAAATCGTTAAATTTATACATAAAGGGGGTTCTGTGCATGATTAATTAAACCACAAGGGGGTTTGACGCATTTTTTAAATCACAGGGGGCTAATGCGCCGAATTTTCAAATCACATGGGGGTTTGGTGCATTAAATCCCATTTTTCTGGCTCCACCCCTGCGCTGCACCCTATCGAACCGGTGGGATTTTCCATGTCTTTGCAACCCACCGATCCGATGTTCTTTTCTTCATTCACTGCTGGTCCATACACGACGGGGCCGTCATACTCCCTGTTCAGCTCTCTGCCGCCTCAATTCCCGTGGGCACTGGCGTCCCCTTTGGCTCCTCCGGTGGTTTCCCGTCCAGCGCCGCAGACTAGCTCTCCTTTCTTTGGGTCCTCCTTTGGTGGTTCTCCAGGAGTGACTCGGCCGCAACAGGACAACCCCCTCTTCGGTTCTCCTATGGCAGCTTTGGCCCAGATAGTTTCTCATGAGCTCCAATGGGAAAGTGGGTGTTAATAGTTTATACGGAGTATGAAAGTTGAAATAGGAGTGAATTGTTTATTTTAATTATTTATCTGAGTTATTAGAACAATGGTGCAGTGATAATTTATACGGACTACATTATTGATTAGCTATACAAGTTTGGTAGAATATCGCACGGAGACACGGAGTATTTGGTGACTCATAATGTTTAACAGGCCTTCTGAAAACAGAGGGTGTATCACAAGGTGTCTATTTTTTATATTTCCAACTCATCATTACCACAAAAATAGACACCCCCAATGTAGAGAATATTTTTTTTTATCACAAAATTCACAATGTCTATTTTGTATACGTGGCACTGTAATTTTTACCAATCCACATTACCATTAAAGATGCTCTTAGAGTATTCCAATGTCACAAAATGCGCGATGCACATGTGGTATGACAAAGATAGACACACAAATATTAGTAAGCAAAATATCTCTCTCTTTATTTGAACACTCACATGTTTTGGATAAATTTTTCTCCACAATGTCAAAAAGAATGTCTAGATGTAGACATTGTTGTTGACATTAATACCAAAATTATATAAAACCGTGAATAAGAAAGAGAAATGTCAATGATTATTTTTATGTGTCTATCTCTCACACGCCACATGTGCACCGTACATGTTCTATATTAGAGATGCTCTTAATCGCTCTTATTTTAATTGTTTCTCGCACTTGTTGTCAGAGTCTGCAAGTTTGGAATTTTGGATGGCTTTCTACGCTCAAACGTAGGGCTTCAGTGTTTAAGTTTTTTTTTGCCATATCAACAAACAAATGACTACAAGTATTGGCGGGATAAATTCAAAGACAATGTCTAATTTTAATGATTTGGCACCCTAAACATAGACTAGAAAGGCAGCGTTAGGGTTGCTCTAAGGCCATTACAAATCAAAATCCTTCATCACTCTCTACGCTGAATGAAGAACTCTTTGGAACTTTCAATCCTTCCCCCTCTACAATAAGAGAAATAACTTGTACCTATCAGGCTATATATAATTCATTCCTCAGCTTCACCATTATCTGAGTCTGCATCATCTGAGGATTCTTCTCTTTCTCTTGCTTCTACACCCGCAGCTGGTTGGCTCTTTTTCTCTTTCTTCCTTTGTTTCTTCTTCTGTCGTTTGAGACGTTTCTTTGCAGTGCGCTCTTCAGCAGCCTTCAACCGTTCATCTTTTCTTTTGTTGAATTCAGACACTTCCTTCCTTTTCTGGTAATCAGCATCCATCCTTGCAAGCCGGTCTTGTTCTTTTCGTCTCATTTGTCGATACTACAACCAGAGAATACCCATCAGATGATCAGAACTCACATTACTCACATTACTGAAACCTCAAGTCAAACCAACTAATCAAGTTAGTGGAGTGGATTATGAGACAGAAAAAATAATGTGGATTATTTTAATTTATACTCTCTTATTGGTTAGAAGACACGCCATGGTTACATACTAAAATTTTAACATCTCCTCCCCCACTCCCTCTACCGGTGCACATACAAATAAATGCACTAAAGAATATGAATGCCCAACATAGAGCTTATAATCCCAATTTTATGAATGAAAATTTGTTCACTCCAGTCTCTTAACAAGTTGATACAATACATGCATACCAATAACAGAGTCATAGAGAATTGGATCACCCAAAGCCTGCCTAGCACAAACACAACCCCAAATTGCAAACGTAAAAACAATGAAAACAAAACTAACACCATAGCAACACAAACACACAAACAAAACTATAGACAAACAAGCAAAGGAGGGGGGGACAATACTCTTTCCGTCCCGCTACATCCCATTTTCATTTTAGCCCATCCCAAAATATTTGTCCCATACCATAATTGGTCACATTTTTCCCCATCATTTGCAATGGAGCCAAAGACTCACTATTTCTTTGCTTGAGAATATGATGAAAGCAAAAGAAAAAATGGGCCACTAAACTGTTTGTGCTTCTTTGCTATGAAGCACCAATCGATCCATGCAATTTTCGACGTGAATGTCATTATGCGTCATTCGAAAACAGTCTCTTTGTACTTTAGTCAGCGGCAAGACTATGTACATCTAACCCCCCTTGTCCCACGGTAGGTGGGAGCCTTGTGGCACTAGGGTAATGATGATGACGATCATTATTGATCATATTTATAAGGCTAAAAAATTCAAAATATATCGTACTTTAAGAGTTCAATATCAATCATACAATCACGCCTTTGCTTAACTAGAGTGTCAATCCTCTTGTCCCGTACGTATGAGGGAATACTATGTTACATACACAAACAAAATACAACCACTTTACACCGTTCACATTTGCAGCAGCTAATGGTTGGATTGGTTCGGCACATCCTAGACGTAGTACAACTTTGCTTGAAACTACTCGTATAACATTAGACAAGTCTGGTGATCTTCTGCTATCAAAAAACATATACGGAGTATAAGATAGAAAGAGGTCCATGATATTTTGCTTTTCACTGAAATCCCAAGTGCTATACTTCCAACATGGCAAAGTCAAAAGTTGAATTTTCAGAAGCACCTCACAGTGCACTAACACTATCCTAATCACCACTCAATATGACTGGAAACATTGCACCCCATTAAGCATCACTAAAACAAGCAACAAGGTAGTTCTTTACCTAAAAGTCTACTCTGTAAGAGTGTGATTGTTGTGGACTTGTGGTGGGGGAAGGGAGCTTCTTTTTATTTCTAAAATAAGGGAGCTACACTGCCTGCATCACACAAAAAGACTCATGTCTGATCAAAGTACAACTTTTATTTTGTTAAGGTGCAACTGCTATAAATCATTAGTCCTACTTATGCTTTTTAGACAATGTATCGGTTTAGCTAAACTTGCAATATGTAACTTTTATGCCAATCTTATTTGTCAACTTCCTTGAAAATTAGCTCCATTTGATGAAACAGAGCTCCTTTATGAGATGGAGGCGAGTGTTTAAAACAACACCATTTTAATAAGATGGAGGAAATGTAACATTTATGGTAATAATTAACAAGTAAATGAGTAGGACGTTGAGTCTAAGTGAAATTTTCATATCTTGATAAACTATAAAGATAAAACACTAATTTTGTTAAATGTAAAATGGACTCTTACCCTCCCTTGAGCCTAGAAAACCCTATCCCAGGCATACTCTAAGGATCACTTACCACCAATTCACCAAAGATCTCACTCTTGAAACCCCTCTTCTCTTAAAGTTTAAGGGTTTGTTAAGATTTCATTTACCTATAACACTAGACATCTAAATTTGCTAGGAGAAAAGTATCAAGATTACATAGGCTCAAGCAGCGTAAACAGGAAAATTAAAGACAAACTACTCTGAAAAAATCAATTTCTTATTAATCAAAGGGTCCAAGATGCAAATCATTCAGGACACAAGAAATTAAACAAGGTTGGTAAAGTAGGAAAAAAATGGAAAGCCGTTATGAGAATTGAGACATTTAAAAAAAGGTCAGATACTCAGATATACATCTCATAACAGTTCACATGTCTGAACCTAGAACAATGCCATCCTACTAGTACTCTAGAATCAAAGGTTGAGAGCTTATCTGTTAATTACCTGATGAAAGTCGCCAGAACCAGAACCCGCAGAGCTACCAGAAGTATTGCTAACACGGACAGGGACACAATCAAGAATACGCCGGAGCTTAACCTCAAGGTCCTCCTCTTCAGGGTTAGGCGTTGGTGGTGTGTATTCGACTAAAGCACTGGAGGAAGACGTTGGAGGTCGAGGAGGAAGTATAGCTACTTTCCTCTCTGCCACAGGAACCACCTGCATGTCTCCAGCAGCCGCACCCCGACCAGATGATGCCATCTCCGAGATACTTAAACTGCACTATAAGGCAATTGGAAGTTTAGCACTGTCGTGTTATCTCCACACGGATAAATTATTTGCGAGTAGATCCTGGCTTCACCGCTCTCTATCTCTCCCTCCGATAACAATAGGGCTACACCGAGTTGTCTGTAAATGCTGCTAGAAACCACACTTTAGGATCACATCAGCAATCACAAATGTAGCTGGAAAGAAGTAACAAAAACAGTTAGTTGATATTTAAAGTCTTTACTAACACTAGGAAAATCAAATACAAAGGGGAAGTCGACCAGGAATTTAGGTCCATTTAATACTCTTTTGTATGATAGATTGTCTTTTCCTGAATTTAATTTCTTGAAAAAAAAGTAACATGTTTTACATCGAAACTTTATTGAACCATATTCAAATTGTAGGATTATGATGGCGATAAGTAAACAAGTCAAACTGCAGTTGGATTGATAAGGCATTACAGTACACATGCCATTAAGCCTCAGTCAAGAATTTTAGCAAACAGTTTGTATGCGACACATGTATATAAGAAACTGAAAACAGGTAACCTAGATGTATATAAATATTAAAGTAAGCACAAATATATAATTCAACTACTACACAATCCAATTAGCGAAAATGGAAAAAATTAATGATTGTCACAGTGGCAGACAAGATGGATTGGGTAGGAGAAGAAAATTGGACGGGAGAAGAGGAGAAGAATTACCTGGTGGTGTGGTGGGTAGTCGAGCAGGGAAGTAATCAGAAAGATGAGAAAGATGAGGGCAAACTGATAGCTTCCAAAATACCAAAAGTTTGATTTTTTCACTCATACCGTGATAGGTTTGAAAATTGTCATGCCAGTATATACTGCTTTAAATCTATGTTTAAAAAACCGACCCGACCCGGCCGGGTTGACCAGGAACCCGGTGACCCGGACAAAAACAGGTTCGGTTTTTTCAAAACCCGGAAATGGTCAAAAACCGGAAAAACTCGGATGACCCGGGAAAACCCGGTCAAGACCCGGACCCAAGAAACCCGAAAAACCCGGCAAAACCTAGTTTTTGGGTGTTTTTACCATAAAAAGTAATTTCTTTTTTATTTTTAATGCATTTTTTATACCAATAAAATTGCAATTTCAATACCTTAAAAAGAAAAACTACGTAATATATTTATATATTTATTTAAGAATGAACATCATGCCAAATTATACTATAGATGTACAATAAAAATAAAAATATCATTATATATTTTTA